AAGGTCTGACTTTACTTAGACAAGTCTTGTCACTGAACAGTAATAATGTACAGTATAAAATATAAAATTATGTTGCAGTGGAAGAAGAATTAATATTGTGCATGACTCCCATAAGCTTGGAGGCCTGCATTTATACATCTCTGCAATGAGATGTATGAATAAAGTCATCTGTAATGACAAAGTAAGCGTTCTTGCAGGACTCTTACAGTTCATTAAGATACTTGAATTCATCTTTAATGCCTCCTCCTTCATTTTAACCCAGTGTTTAACAATGTACATGTCTGGTGACTGGGCTGGCCAATCCTTGTGAACCTTCACCTTTTTTCCTTTCAGGAACTTTGATGTGAAGGCTGAAGTTTGAGAAGGAGCGTTATCCTGCTGAAGAATTTTCCGTCTCCTGTGGTTTGTAATGTAATGGGCAGCACAAATGTCTGGATACCTCAGGCTGTTGATGTTGCCATCCACTTTGCAGATCTCTCATACACCCCCATACTGAATGTAACCACAAACCATGATTTTTCCTTCACCAAATTTGACTGATTTCTGTGAGAATCTTGGGTCCATGCAGGTTCGAATATGTTTTCTGCAGTATTTGTGATGATTGGGATGCAGCTCAACAGATGATTCATTAGAAATTCATTAGAAGTCAAGTTATTATTTGTCGTGCTTACAACTGGAATAGACGACAAGACTTTTGTCAGGTAGTGTACATATTCAACAATCTGAAAAAAAAATTATTTTTATATTTTTAAAATATATTACAGTTAGATCCTACATTGTTTATACACATTTCATATATCAGCATTGGGTGTAAAAAAAAAAAAAAAAACTAAATTAAATTACTTTTTTGCTGACAATGAATTAGGGGATTACTTAACACTTTTAGACAATTTAATTATAGCTATTTTTACCTGTCGTAAATACTGGGTTCCACACAAACAATGTGCTGGGACAACATGGAGAAATTAAGTTAACTCATTAATTTTTACTAATTTAAGTGGATTGAACATAAAATAGTTAAGTGGCTCCCCAAAAACCTCAAGAATTGAGTTGTTTCAGCTCACTTTAAATAAGTATTTACCTCTTCAATTCAGAGAGGCAATCATGTTTTTTATACAAATATATTTTGCCTAATAACTTTTTTGTAACCAAAGAATATATCTTTTCTTACTGTGTGTGTGTGTGCTTGTAAATTACTTCATAAGCACACACACACAGTAAATTTACATTAATAGAATAAATTCATAGAATTCGTTTGCATCCTGTTTACAGAAGGATGAACAGCATGCAAATTGGGAAAACAAGTGTGTTTAAACCTCTTCTTTGAAACTTAACACCTGAACAAACACGCTTTACAAACAACACAAAAAGCAGAGAGTGCAAATAAACATTAAAAAAGCAAGAACTACAGCTTAATGTCACTTCAGAGGACAGAACAAGAACACATAATGTTGATCAACTGTAAAAAACCAGCTACAATGAGAAACGCAAGCATACTGTAAATACACAAAAGCAGGTGCAGGTGAACAAAATAAAACAAGCACAGGGTCACACATAATTACACACACAGATAGTAAAACACATCTGACAGAATAGCTGCATATGATGAAAGCTGCTGTCTGCCTGTGGGATTGTATGAGATCATATCAACCGCAGATGTTAATTATGTTCTTATGGAAATGTTCTGCTTCCTGTTCAACACACAGCTGACCATCTCATGCATCTCTTATTTCCTGAGTTCACTTTAAGTTTTGCTGGCCAGGTGTAATGTGATCAAGCACAAGAATATAAATAATATCTGTTCCGTGCAAATCTGTGTTCATTAACAAGGCACAACCTTGGCAAACAATGCATGACTGCATAATTAGATGGTTGCTTGCTATTATTTGTCACATCATGTTGGTTATACAGACTAAAATGTCACCCGATTCGAATGTTATCATTCGATTGAATGGGTATTATCAGTGGTTAACCATGTGGATGGATGATTACAGCGTTCTGAGCCTACTAGTAAGTGCAGAAGGCCCCTACTAGCCCATATTTATCAGCTAATAACGCCCATTCAGGTAAGTGATAATGTTCGAATCAGCTGAAAATACACTAGTGTCAGCTTGTCAGCCCTTTTAACTCTTTAGTTCAGTCAACCTGTTTTGGTTTAGTCAAGTTGACTAAACGTCTTGGCATTTTAAAAGTAGAATTCAAAGAGAGTCATGTATTCCTCATGGCGCCGAATGATCAGACTACTTATGATTTTATGCTCAGCATAATTGCTGTCATTTAAGAAATTTATTTGTACATTTCAATGAATTATTGCATTTTCTCCTTCAAGCACAAACGCATAAACATGGTTTATCAGACCTTATCAAGTGTACTGACTTGTTATAGACTATTATTTATCATAGTCTACATTATGAATGCTGTAAAACAAGAAGCTTCTCTCAAATATGAAAGGATTAGATTACCAAAAAATGAAAATTCCGTTTTAATCGCCCATAGCAAATGCACACAGGACACTCACTCAAAAGTGTTCTTGGGGTTTTGTATGATTACAGTTGAACCACTTAAGCAAGATTATAATAGGTGTTGACTTTTTATTAGTTTTATTTTTTTATTTCATTTTGACTTTTTGTTTTCAATTTAATATTTTTGTGTTCAGAGGACACACTAACACTACAATCTAGATCCTCAAATTCAAATATAACAGTCTACAAGATAGCAGGCCTAAGTACAATATGTGTGCAAGGCTGCTTCTGAGGTTAAATGCACAGTAGAGTTGGGAATGATCAAAGCTCTCAGATTTCATCAAAAATGAAATTAATTAATTCCTGTTAACAATAATTTTAAAAAAGCAGTTACATGAATGTTTTTCTTTTAATATGCCAACAAAAAAGTGTTGTCTCACAGAAGTTGCAAAAATAAATAATATGAATGTTTTGATTTGGTTTGCATTTATTAGTTCCTCACTGACAAGCTTTGATGACAGATGCTTTCAAAACGACTTGTGAAAGAACCCAGATATGATCTAGGATACTTTGCTCTAAGCAGAATATCTCAAGATGAGATCGCTAAACTCCGGCTTAGCTTTCACAGTGTGCAAGATTGCCAGACAACAAAGTTTAAGAAAGAAAATGCAGTCTTTTCCTTACCACTTTATTGCACTCTACCTCTCAATGATACTCCCTACCCCCCTTGAAAGTCAAGTTATTTAATTTTCTTTTCTTTATATAGCACCAGATCATAACAGAAATGATTCAAGGTGCCTTCCTACAAAACAGTACTTTGTCCTTTTAATAAACAAACAAAATGCCCTCACGCTATTCATCTTATTTACATGAGAGCTTGTCGTTTCTGTTTGCTCTCTCCTCTGTATATCACGTGTGAGGAAATTCCACTCTGACGCACGCTCTCACACAGGTAAGCACACTCCCACCAGAGGAGTGATTGTGCGTCGTAAAATATGTTTCATCAACAAGATGGAAATGGTGCTGCGCTTAACATCCATTGTGTGGCCTGTGTCATGTGACATTAATTGCATTATTAATGCATTTAGCCAAAGTCACTTTTAACTAGGCTATGTGTGTTTTATTAATTGCAAAACTTCTAAGAGATGCCACGGATTCACATCTCATAATAATGTCATCATATGAGTGCTCTCTCTCTCATACACACACACACACACACACACACACACACGCACACACGCACGGACACACGCACACGCACACGCACACACACAAAACAAAACAAAACAAAACAAAACAAAACAAAAATTAGTTTCAAAATGGTTATGGTCTGTATGGTCAGACGAAATATGATAGAAATTGTGTCCAATGTTTTTTTTTTATTTTAGTCTACTTGATACATTATAAATGGCCTAGCTGATTGGTATGTATTGGCTTATTTGATATGTAATAGAGCTGCGCTATTAATCGAAATTAAATCGTAATCGCAATTCGAAATGTTAGGATTAGCAAATCACAAGAGGCTGCGGTATGAAAAATACATGTATCATTTAATTTCCCATGCCCAGAGCAAAGGCATGACTGCTGTCTGTGTGTGTCAAGTCTTACAAGCCAATTGAGTGAGCAGGCTTTTTTTCTGCGAGAAATTAGGAGCGATTAGGAGAAAAGAGCCCATAAAATATCATAAAATGTAATTTTAGCAAGATTTGACATATTTAGCCATATCAATTTTATTTTGATTTATCATTCAGCCCTAAAAAAAAAAAAAAAAAAAAAGATGACTGACCAACTAAACACAACTTTGGACTGGTCTTGTGAAAAATATTTACCAAAATACCAATTTGGTACTGTATTTTTAAAGACATCCATTTCCCCACTAACATTTGAATCCTGTTGAATCTTACTGCATTCAATATGATGGGCTACACAATGACCAATCAGGGGTGTATAAGAACCCACTCAACAGTGCTCAAAAAGCAGGCAGGAAATTATAGAATCAGCACATTTTCAGTACCAATTGGTATCAATGTCGGTACTATTGACAACACTACCTTGAAGCAGTTTAAACTAGACCATCAAACCACCTTAAGGAGCTTATTTACAACTATCTCATCCCAAGGACAAATTAAATGTACCAAAAGTGACAATGCTTACGACAAAACCAATTGCCTAATGTGGTTATTTTGATCTTTCTATTCACCAAAAAACACAAAAAGTATATAGTTTCCACAAAAAAAAAAAACAAACAAAAAAAAAAAAACTATGCAGCACTGTATTCAATGCTAATGCTAATGCTAATGCTAATAATAATAATAATAATAATAATAATAATTTTTCTTCAGCCATAAATCAGAATTTTTAAAAGACTTCAAATGATAACACGACACTAAAGTAATTCAGTAAACTGGAGTAATTCAGCTTTGCTATTCCAGGAATACCATTACAAAAGAATATGCAAGAGATACACAAAGTGTTAGTGAAATAAAGCAGTAGGAAGTGGAGGAATGTTTAAGAATAATTGAGTTTTTTTTTTTTTACCGGAGGGTGCTGCTGCTGGAGCTGCTACTGCGGCTGATGCTGCTGCCGTCGGCTGGTTGGTTGGAGATGTCTCCTGGCTCAGCTTCTTCTTGGCCTCCTGCACTGGATTCTCAAACTGAGTCTTCTGATTGATGTGGCTGAAGGAAAGAGTGTGATGGTCAGTGCAATGACACACACACACACACACACACATGCAAAGCATAGACCTGCAGCGATGCTTATCTGCTTATGCAAAAAAAAAAAAAAAAAAAAAACCTTTGTGAATATAAGGAACAAATGCATATCAGAAAAGGCACTGTGCGTATGCGTCTCTTCTTGTTTATGGTCAGCTACTGTACACATGCTGTACTTTTTGCTGTTCCACAGACACACATATGAATGAACAGAAAATATACAACATACAGAGACTGAAACTTGAACAATGTGAACTGATTTGACACAGAGAAACTGTCATAAAGTGTAACCAAATGCTCAGTTTTCCTAATCAGTTCATCGTATAAAATTAGAATGGAGAAGTCACGACAACATGTGTTTTCCATTCATTCATTCTTTTTCGGCTTAATCCCCTTATTAATCTGGGGTCCCCACAGTGGAATGAATCACCAACTTATCCAGCATATGTTTTACGCACGCATATGTTAGCAGATGCCCTTCCAGCTGCAACCCAACTCTGGGAAAAATCCATTCACACTCATAAACTACAGACAATTTATCTTTCTCAATTCACATGTAGCGCAAATCTTTGGACTGTGGGGGAAACCTGAAATCAGAAACCAGAAACGCCAACTGACCCAGCCGAGGCTTGAACCTTCTTGCTGTGAGGTAACAGCACTACCTACTGCAACACCGCGTCACCCTATATGTGTTTTCATCATACTTAATCATAATAAAATATCCATGCTTCAACTTATTTTTTAAAGGTACAGCTGGTTTAATGCAATAAAACACACAAACCACAATCATTTTGTTAGAAAAGAGGATAGAATTTATGGAGGACCAGGAGTGCTGGTTAAAAATGAAATGAAGATTATTAAAATTTGTGAATAAATAAATCACAATTTAAATTAATGACAATTTATGGACAAATAAATAGACATTTTTAAATGTCATTTAATAAAGCAATAAAAATATAATAAAATATAATAAAAATATTATAAACGTTTGTGGCGAGGCAGTGGCGCAGTAGGTAGTGCTGTCGCCTCACAGCAAGAAGGTCGCTGGGTCGAACCTCGGCTCAGCTGGCGTTTCTGTGTGGAGTTTGCATGTTCTCCCTGCCTTCGCGTGGGTTTCCTCCGGGTGCTCCGGTTTCCCCCACAGTCCAAAGACATGCGGTACAGGTGAATAGGGTAAGCTAAATTGTCCGTAGTGTATGAGTGTATGTGTGAATGTGTGTGTGGATGTTTCCCAGAGATGGGTTGTGGCTGGAAGAGCATCCGCTGCGTAAAAACTTGCTGGATAAGTTGGCGGTTCATTCCGCTGTGGCGACCCCGGATTAATAAAGGGACTAAGCCGACAACAAAATGAATAAATAAACGTTTGTTTAGTTCATATCTTAAATGCTGATTTATCAAATAACAGAAACGTACATTAATAGATCATTTAAAATGCATTTAAATGATTTTAAAAAAGCATTTGACAAATGTTCTTCACTATTTGCCACTTGCTTTTCTTTTGCAACAAGCTTTTCTAAGTTGAAAATAAATCAAGTTAAAAAATTCCATTGAACAGTCCACACGTGAGAGCAACCAATCAGCTTTCCCCTCAAGTCCAGCTAAACCCTCTTTTGCTTGTAAATGAAATGCGCACTGTCAATGCACAGAGAGAAAACAGCACATTTTAGCTGGGGTTTAAAGATCAGCAAAGCAACTCAAATATCAGGGATTTATTAGCTTTAGCTGATTTCTGTTAAAGAAACTCTCATCTGGATTATCACTGTCTGTACAGAAATGTTTTACAGTTGAGGGGTGACGTTACTGTGGTCAGACGAGCTAAGTCAAAATGACGTGCATGCTTTTGACTTAGCTGGCCTGACTGCAGTAACATCAGCTTGTTACTTTTCTCATGACAAACATAACAGAATTTATAGACAATTTATTTATTTTGCTGGGTATTATATTCACAAATGTCAATTTTCTTCATCATTACCTAAGTTGCAGAATTTTCTTGTGACTTAAATTGTTTAATTACTACTTAACAAAATGTTTACTGCAAAAAAGTGTTAAAACTGAAAATTTATAAGGACTTTGTAAATATTATTTAATTTGATAGTTTGTTTCTGTACCCAGTTTTTTTTAGTTTATTTACAATTTTCTTTTGTATTTAATACATTAACTGCATATATTTTGAGGTTAAAACGAATTGTTCTTACATCTATACATAGGTGGCAAATCTAAATACATCCATACATTCCACAAGAAAAGCTTTCACAAAAGAACTTATGTGGGCACTGAACAAAATCTGCAAAAAATAAAGCTGTTTCACAATAAGTAACGACATTTTGATTAAATATTACTAAGGCAAATTATTTAGACAAACTCTTTTCCCTTTGGAATACCCACACAGAGATGAATAAGTCACTATAAAAACTAAGAGACAACATTAAGGAAGTCAATACATACAGTTACTGTGCTGACCTCAGAATTGATCTTATTTTAATAAGGACGTATTTACTGGAATGCAACTCCAAAAGCATTAAGAACATATTCATATGACTTTCTAAAATGATCAAAAACGTTTCTCAATCGAACGGAAAAGCACTATTTCAAACTCATCTCTTATTGCTGTACACGCTCCTCCACAAGCGTTGCATTCGTTGTTTGTTAGCTGACGAAATGAATCAATATTACCTTGGCAAAAAGCCTTCCGGTGAAGCTTTCCTCAGCAGAGTTTGTTCTGGAGTGCAGAACTGTGTTGTTTTGTATGAACACACAGCCCTTCCTCTCTACAGGTTGCACGTAAAGTGACAAAAGCAACTCGTCTGCGTTGTGCGATTCTGCTTTAACAGTTGTACCCGACGGTGTTTTTTTTTTAGGCTTTAAACAGATACCGATTCCTTGCTAAACCGGTTGGAGTGCTGTGAATTTGCTAAACAAAGGTACTGTTTGTGCCTGTATCATGCTGGGACACATCCACCTGATCCACAGAGAGTGAGAGACTGAGTGCTCTCGTCTGATGTCCCGCTCCTGGTAATTCAGGCAGGGTGTAATAAGGCATTCAAATCAAAAATAAAACTTTATCGCAAAAATATCCTGGCGCAACAGGAACTGACCTTACACAAAATAAACATCAAATCCTGTGTCCGCTTCCGAAAGTTCTCAGGTGTTCTTCCAACAACTTCAATATCTCACAATGCTTTTTTGATAGTAGAAAATGAGCAAGTCCAGCAAATATGATGAGCAGAAGATAATGATACTGAGCAGTTTACCATTTTAAGTTTAATTTTAAGATTTAAAACTAATAGTATTATGTAAATTACTACACAACACAACTTGTAGCATTATAAAATAATGCAATAACAGCATTATAGTATAATACAATAATCTTTATTTTATTATAATACGTATCATAATATATATATATATATATATATATATATATATATATATATATATATAAGTATTATAATACTTACCATTATATAACAGATTTATGCAAAACCAACAATTTACTACGTTTGATTTACATTTTTAATACACTGTCTTTATTGATAAAAAAAAAAAAAAAAAAAAAAAAAAAAAAAAAATATATATATATATATATATATATATATATATGTATATATATATATATATACAGTTGAAGTCAGAATTATTAGCCCCCCTTTGATTTTCTTTTTCTTTTTTAAGTATTTCGCATAAGATGTTGAAAAGAGCAAGGAAATTTTCACAGTATGTCTGATAATATTTTTTCTTTTGGAGAAAGTCTTATTTGTTTTATTTTGGCTAGAATAAAAGCAGTTTTAATTATTTTAAACACCATTTTAAGGACAAAATTATTAGCCCCTTTAAGCTAAATTTTTTTCGACAGTCTACAGAACAAACAACGTTATAGAATAACTTGCCTAATTACCCTAACCTGCCTAGTTAACCTAATTAACCTAGTTAAGCCTTTAAATGTCACTTTAAGCTGTATAGAAGTGTCTTGAAAAATATGTAGTCAAATATTATTTACTGTCATCATGGCAAAGATAAAACAAATCAGTTATTAGAAATGAGATATTAAAACTATTATGTTTAGAAATGTGTTGAAGAAATCTGCTCTCTGTTAAACAGAATATATATATATATATATATATATATATATATATATATATATATATATATATATATATATATATATATATGGCGCCATGGCCCATTTGCTATCTACATGGTGGATTTTGTAAGTGGAAAGACTCTCAGTTCTAATTTCCAGCAAAAAAATAAAAAATAAGAATAAAAATCACCAGTTATGAGGAAGCCTGTTAAAAAAACTGAGTTATATCCAAATACACATGCTATGCCCCATATGTTCCAAAACCTGACAAATGGGCAAATCTAAGATTGTTTTTAATAAAACAAATATAAATATGCTTTTGATAAATAATAATACTACTAATAATAACATTAAACAAAAGCAAATTGTCATGAATAAACTGAAAAACATGAAGAAGGCATTTAGGCAGTGCTTTTTATATTTATGTAGAAAATAATAATTTTTGTAATATTTTAATCCTTTTTCATTTGTAAAGATATTGGCGTATTGCTGTACATCCTGTGTGTATTAAGCAATATTTAAGCGAGGTGCACTACTAACGCGCTCTGCATTGGACTTTAGACCTCCTCTTAGCTGGTCTATTTTAGTTCCTCAAAATAGCAACGTACCAGCAATGCGCCTTAACACACCTCCTTTTTTAGACTAGAACGCCTATGGGTGCACATATGAGTGCAAATGCATTTGCTATTTAAACAGCATGGTGCAAAACGTCAAAATGACACTTGTGTCCAGCTGAAACTAGCAAATAACAATTGCGCCGCATTGCGCTGGGTGTATAATAGCGCCCATAACTCAAAATACCATCAAAATTACATGTTTTGTAGAAATTCAAGACAATTTTACAATGTGTGGACAGTTGTGATTCTTTGTTGTATTGTATTTTATTATTATTTTTTTTATCTAATTGCTAAAAAAATATATCCTGTCTATTACATTCTACATAATTGTATATGTATATTCCCAATAAATTTAAATAAATGCTAATTTTCAAAGAGTTTTGGATTTTCACAATATCAAGTCTAACAATCTAAATCCTGAATATAATGCTTTGTGTGGTGGCTCGGCATAATGAAGTTATTTGCATAAATCAATCTCAAGTAAACTGCATTAATTTATTTCCTCTGTTTAAAAATGAGGGTTACAACCCCGTTATGCTATTATTGGGGTTTTTCTCCCAAATAAGCAAAACAAAACAAAAGAACTTGACAAAAAAAAAGAAACAAACAGCAAAACAACCACTAGCCTAACCCAAAAAAAAAACAGCAACGGAAAACTTCAGCATACAGCAAACCAAGACGCACACGGCAAACGAAACTGCATCCATCCATCATTCCTACCAGACCATAACCAATATGATCATACTCACTCCACGTAATAAGTCCCGTACTGCGGGTCCTCAATCTTCTCCCAGCCATATGGAAGCTCTGCGGAGAATCAGACAGGCATATCAGAGACAGCTTGAACAGATGCAAATCACCCATGGGGGCTTGAATTCCTGACAGCGAAATTTCTGAGAAGCCGAACACCAAACAGGTCAGGATTAGCAGGCATATTTGTCCAGAGAGGAGATCAGAAGGCTGAGCGTGGGGAAAAGCAGGAGGGGGTCTCAGGTATTAGTGAGCTGTACGGAAAATGACTTCTTATCTTTCCTTGTGATGTGAGAGGTGTGTGGAGCCGCTATCCTGACATGGACATAGAGTGCACAGTATAAACGACTACAAGCCCTTTTATCCATTTCTCAGTGAATATAGACAATACATTTTAGTGTATTTAAACAAAACAGTTGTTTATTAAAATAAGAATGTTGTCACCCCAATATCATGACACTCAAAAAAGAGAGACCGATAGTGTGACTTGATTTAATTATGACACATTTGAACTGTGTTACTTCAACTTATTTGAATTATGTAATTTCAACTTATTTTAAGCAAATAAAACCCATGAGCAAAATTAATTTCGATCCATTTATGTCTAATAACTCTCATTTGAATTACCCTGGCCTGTGAACACAGCTTACTCTTCAGAAGCCAGCTCATTTCAAATCAATTGGAATTTGATGTTATTTATTGCAGCTCAAACTGCATCTGCTTTAATAATGTCTACACAGTTAGCTGAGCCTGATCTCAGAACTAGCTATGACTCATTGAGCGATGAACCAAACAATATAATTGGTATTTAAGCTGTCAACACCCAAAGCACGAGTGAATGCTACTCTAGTGCAAGGTGGTAACCTCAAAACTCACGACACTACATGAAACTCTTCTAAATCTATAAACTAAGTGAATATTAAACTCTAACATTCTTTTTCTTAACTTAATTACCAAAGATTACTTTTATTGTCAACATTGCCCCCTCTTAAGCCACTTTTCAGCCCGCGACCACCAAAGTAGCAGTGCCAGTGACTCATGACTAGGCCCACACGGAATCTGCGCGTGCATTTCCGCAGATTTTTGCCCATCATTGAGTCTATAGGTTTTTACTGGTGTAAATGTTTGTAAAATTATTTTTATTCATTTTATTTTATTAATTTCAGTAGTATTATTGACTAATGTGTAAATGTTTATATGACTTATTTACAGTACAGATTGTAAAGTAATATTTTCTGTCCTTTAGTAGATCTATTTTAAGGGAGACTTACTTTGTTTATCAAAAAAGTGGATCTAATTGGGTTTGTACTGTAAACATTAAATAAAAGGTGAAAAGGTACTGATTTTAAATTAATATATTAAGGTTTTAGTTATGATACTCCCCAAATCATTCTGCATAAATCTGCAGATTTTTTTTTTACAAAATTTTGTGCAGAAATAGCAAAAAATGTCCACAGATTCCGTGTGGCCCTACTTATGACCTCTAATATTCTCTAAGGTGGTTATAAATATATAAACCTTGCACACAAAGATGAACACATACCAATAGGCCCAAGTTTATTCATTATTTAATTTCAGAGAACGCCACTCCGAGACCATTCTTCATCTTTACTTGTGCCCTTTTTTTTATGTGCATGAGTGCCTTAAAGGTGTCAGAAAGTTTAACCTGATGCCATAAAGTCAATGTGCTGCATCTAACGCTATTGCTGTGTCTTTAATATAATGTAATCACCACAAACACTGAAATGCTGATGGCTTTTATTTGAATGTTGTTTTATAATGTTTATTATTTACATGTTAGCAATTCAATTCATGTTTATTTCTATAGCACTTCTACAATGTAGATTGTGTCAAAGCAGCTTAACATAGAAGTTCTAGTAAACTGAAACTGCGTGAATCCAGTTTTTAGAGTTGAAGTTCAGTTTAGTTCAGTTCAGCATGGTTTAAATGTCACTGCAGAAAGTCCAAACACTGAAGAGCAAATCCATCAATGCACAGCTCCACATGTCCCAACCAAACAAGCCAGTGGTGACAATGTTACTATTAACAAATATTTTGTTCCTCAGTAGGTTATGGATAAAATATGATAATTCTAATAATAATAATAAAAAGAATTTTATTTATAAAAATCGCCAAGCAAGCCCATATCATTGTCCCGCAATCCCCTGAGGGGGTCCAACCCACACTTTGGGCAACACTGCACTAACCAGTAGTTACACCAACACAATTTCTTTATGTCTTCCCAACTCAAAACAATTAAAACAAGTTAACTTAATGTTTTACAAATATAAGTGGGCTGAACTGAATTAAAAGAATTGTGTAGTTTCAGCTCATTTTAAGCAAGTAGTTTGAACAAGCAGCAACAATCCTCTTTTGATTGTAGAAATAGAAAGATAATACATTTTAATTCAAAAAATCAGTTTCTCTTTATTTTTCCGTTTTATTACAATTTAATTTTTATTAATTCATACTAATATTTAAATAAAATCTAATAACTAATATATAAATGTGGATGTACTCTTTTTTTGGACCATGATCTTAAGTTATTTAGATTAGATTTAGATTAGCTTAGTTAAGATTATTATTAGATTGATTAAATTAGTTATTTTGGCTTTGATACACTGTAAAAATATTGACAACTTCAAATTATTGGGTAACTTGCTGCACAACTTTTTTTTTCTTTTTTTTTTGACTTGGCTCAAGTTTTAACCCATGTACTGCATTTGACTCAATTTAAGTCGAGTTAACTCAAAAGGCTCTGCAGCAAGCTGCCATACAATTTTAAGTTGAGTCAACTTTTTTTTTTTTTTTACAGTGTACGGACTAATTTAATATATTCTTACAGGGTTTCTGCGGGTTTCCTAAGTCAAATTTAAGACTTTTTAAGACCATTATGAATTAAATTTTAGACTTATAAAGGGCTAAACACTAATGTTTTTTTGTAATTGCCCAGTTATTTCAGTAAATAGTTTTTGTATTAATGGAAAATTATATAGTTAGTTTAGTTTAGTTGAGTTTAAAACTTTATTAATCCCCTTGGGGCACTTCATTCTGACATGGTGGTGCTCCACACATATAACAAAAATAACACACTTAACACAATAAGCACCAACACTTAATTTCAAGCACACGCACGCATGCACGCACACACACACACACACATGCACGCACACACACACAAACACACAAAAATCAATAACAATAATAAATAATAATTACTAATATAGAGGCATGTGTTGCTTTAGTTTTCTTTCCCTGATTAGGAAATTAGGGTCTAACAGCTGTGATTTGTATCTCTTTGCGATAAAAACAAATATATGTTGGGTAGCTTTACTTAGACATAGGAAAATTAAGACCTGTTTAGCATGATTTAAGGCCTACAACAAATATTTAAGTGAATTTAAAGCCAAAACTTTTGTTTTTCAAATGTAAGACTTTTTAAGACCTCATGGACACCCTGTATATAATACACAAACTTTATTATACGGCATAGAAAAATAATAATTTAAAAGAGAGATTTGTAAGGGGTGTCCTATTTATGCTGGGCACTGTACGTGGCCATTGCAGAAAGCTGGTTTAAAATGACACATTGATGTGCTCTCAGCACGTCTCCTGTGAACCATTAGTCAGGTGGGTCGGAGAGAGACAGACAGAGAAAAAGAGAGAGGCTAATGTCTCTGGTTTTCAGCTAAGGGTCTGTTTATGTTGTGTGTGTGATTCAGTCTTACCTCCATCTTCACATTTTTCAGGAGGCTTTGCTTTCTTTGCCAGTCGTGGGTCGAGCCAGGTCGTGGTCTTGGAGTTGTGACTAGATGGAGAGGGAAAGAAAGGGAGGGAAAGTTAGCAAGTAAACACCTGAAGGCCCTCCAGGTCATAAGTTGTAATTACAGTGGAAAAATGACCACAATATTGCTATAACTCACTGGAATAATGTAAAAACGACACAAACAATCAGTAAATGCTGCTTAGTGATAGCTAACAACAGATGGTGAGATCTTTTTTTATGTTTTCCAAGCAGTGATTTTGTACACCTGGAGGGACATTGAAAAATTATGAATTTGCATTTTTTTTAGATGATACATTTGCATAAAATCAGGATTAAATTTATGTTTTAGTATTTGGTAAAACTTCTGCTTATATTCAGCTATAAAAAATATTATATATTCTAATCTAATTTACTTAGAATTTAATGTATTATAATACATTAAACTTTCATTAAAATTAAACAACATTTTTTTCTTCAACTACTAAAGGTGTACGACAATAGTGTGCATTTTTTAAAAACTATACTGTATTTTTTATTAGATCTTTACAGTAAAAAAGTTCATTAAAATATGTTACATTATATTATATTATATTATATTATATTATATTATATTATATTATATTATATTATATTATATTAGTCCCTTATTTATCAGGGGTCGCCACAAGCGAATGAACTGCCACCTATTCCAGCATATGTTTTATGCAGAAGATGCCCTTCCAGCTGCAACCCAGCACTGGGAAACACCCATTCATTCTCGCATTCACACATGCACATGCACTACAGCCAATTTAGCTCATCCAATTCGCCTATACTGCATGTCTTTGGACTTGTGGGCGAAACCGGAGCACCTGGAGGAAACCCACATGAACACGAGGAGAACATGCACACAGAAATGCCAACTGACCCAGCTGGGACTTGAACCCGCAATCTTATTGCAGTGAGGTGACAGTGCTAAACACTGAGCCACCATGCTGTCCATATTATTATAATATATTATATTAGACATTCAGTCATTTTCTTTTCGGCTTAATCTCCACACAGCCACAGCGGAATGAACCGCCGAATTATCCAGCATACTTTATGTTTTTATGCAGCCGATGCCCTTCCAGCTGCAACCCATCACTTGGAAACACCCATAAACATTCACCCTCATATGGGCAATTTAGCTTATTCAATTCACCTATAGTGCATGTCTGTGGGGGAAACCTGAGCACCTGGAGGAAAACCACGCAAACAAGGGGAGAACATGGAAACTCCACACAGAAATGCCAACTGACCCAGCCGAGGCTTGAATTAGCGACCTTCTTGCTGTGAGAGAATCGTGCCTTATATATTATATTATATTATATTATATTATATTATATTATATTATATTATATTATATTATATTATATTATATTATATTATATTATTTAATTCGTCAAAATCTTAGTAAATCTTTTTAGCATAGCAATGTGAGTGAATTTATTAAATAAATTGATATCTGATTATTCGGTTCATGTCCTGGTTTAAAAACCTCAAATTTAGTGCATTAGGGGTCAAAAAGCTTTTGGAACAAAACTATTTTTAAGAAATGTTGCTCATCACATTAAAACATCAGCAAGACCTTTTCAAAAAGCACTTTGCTTGTCTCTTCAGGGCAGAGATGAGGAGTCTGCTCAAAAAGCAAATGTGTTTAAAATCTGAAATATTCATGGAAAGGTGCAGCTCATCCTCCGAGACTCGTGGACAGACACGCGTGTGGAAGCAAGGCCCACTGGGAAGGCTCCATTTAACTCAATGTTAGCATTGTTCAGAGAATGAAGTATTGATTGTCTGTCTCTCACTCTCACTCTCTCTCTCTCTCTCTCTCTCTCTCTCTCTCTCTCCCTCTCACTCTCTTACTCTCTTACTCTCTTACTCTCACTCTCTCTCTATTTCATGTGGACAGCAGATGGGCCCACAGACACAGGTAATGGACACTGAGAGGAAGAGGCTGGAGAAATGTCATCAACATTGAGGAGAAGAGCTGTTTCAGTCCCCAGTGGACTCTTATGCTGGATGTGTCTGCAGGAGTTCCTGTTTACTCCTGAGCTAAATCTTTTAGCTGAAATGTTGCTGTTCACATCTGAGACCAAAGTTAAAAAGATGGACGCACAGATTATTCTTATTCCCCTATTACTAATTAACTTGATATTAACCACATTTTAAATGTCTCTCAATGAATTATAAATATCCTTGGTGGATAAAAGCATTTTATTTTTTGAATATATATCGTACTGACTCTGAATCTTACTTTGAATGCAAACCTTGCTCTGGCTTTTATGACTTTTCAATTACCACAGAAAATAATTTCTAATACTTGCTAAAGCAGTAAAAGCAAATCATTCATAAAACACAAAAGAGCTGATTTCGCCTTGCTTATTTATCATTTGCAGGAATTAAATTAAATAACCAAAAACGTGAAACACAAATTCCTGGATCAAAATAGTCCAGAACTCAAGTCCTACATTCTGATTGGTTGATAAGTTTCTTGGTCCAGGAATGTGTTCTACTTGGCATACATGATTTACTTGATGAAGTAGACCACGCTTTTTAAGACACAGTTCCTATCACTCAAAAAACAACTACAAAATCAATCTTGGCATGTGTACACTGACCTGAAAAGAATGACCTACTTTTTTAATTACCACAGAAGATATTGTTTTTTTTTTTTTTTTTTTTTTTAATCAATGATAAGCTTGGAAATAAACAAATGCTTTAAAAACAAGCTGTTCACAGTGGAATTTTATGACAACTGTCTTAAAAGTTCCCATTATAAATAAATTGTCAATTTTCAATGGTACTGACTAGTTATATTTCGCACACCTAAAGTAGGAAACAAAATTGACACCTTCAAGCAAATTACAAAACTGGACTGACATCCAAATCCTCAACCATTCAGTCTTCCACTTTATGTGTTTTAAATGTCTTCCTATTTAGCTGACAAATTTAGGAAGCATTTAATTTTAGGGCTGGGGATATAGCAAAAATGCAATCTCAATAATTATTTTCCATGTTGAACGATAACGATAATATATTTCAATACAAGTTGTTAATGCTTCCAGATTTAAAAAGAGTACCCCAGCAATTACTGAAGCCACAAAAATTTAATTGTCCATTAAATGGCATCCCATATTTTCGGCCGATAACTTTTCGGTGGCTAAAAATTCGATACATCTCTAATATGATGAAGGGCCTTTATTTTCACAACACATGCAGCGAAATTGGACCCCTCCAACCATACAAAAACATTACATATTTCAGGTCAGTTGAGAGGTAGCATAGAAAACTAGGAAATAAGATACATTGGTGTGAAAGGAGGTTAAAAGCCCCTCCTAGAGTGTCCTTAAAGTAGGGCAATATCAGCACACTTTTAGATTCCCATTGTTGCACATTTCTGCTGTGTGCTTGGCTTTTAGATCAATATAAAGTAAAAAGTCCAGCGCTCATTATTGTTATAGACATAATTTTTTATCGCGATTGGATTAAATTATCGTTTAACGGTCCAGCCCTATTTAATCTGTATTCATAATACACAAAGGATTTTGACTTTGCTTATTTATTGTTAGCTAAATTTTGATAAAAACAAAACAAAAGCACAACATGGATTTAAAGAGACAGTTCACCAAAATGAATAATAAATAATAAATAAATAAATTCTGTGATCATTGGTTTATTTTTACGCTGTTAAACCTGTTTGAGCTTCTTTTTTTCCACTGAACACAAAAGAAGATATTCTGAAGAATGTTGAAAAGTGGCCGTTAATGACTTTCCATAGTATTATCTATTCGACTATATACAGTATTAGATGTCAATGGCTAGCGTCTTCCAAAGATCTTCAAAACTAATTTTTTTTTGTGCTGAAAAGAAAAAAAGGCTTGAAATCTCTTGAGGGCGAGTAAACAGTAAGTATATTTTCTTTTTTGGGGTGAACCATCCTTTAAACCAATTCCTGAAACAACACAGCCCTAAATTCAGATTGGCTGACATGAATGCTGGTCCAGGAATGTGTCCTAGTTGGCAAGCAGCCCTTACTCTATGAAGTAGACCATGCCGGTCTCTGTGTAGGCCATTTCCCAGTTCTTGGGCAGGGGATCCTGGCTGTCATCACGTGGCATGGTGTTCCAGTTGCGGAAGTCCATGCTGCTGCTGGACTGTGTGTAACTGGGCACAGTTTTCCTCCAGTCTGGTCCCTCCTTGTGTTCTGTGGGAGAAAAGAGCAAAAAGAAAGACATTGAGAGAGAGGTGGAGAAGAAAACACAGGAATGGGGAGTAACATACTTCAACTCTCTCTAGCACTCCAGAATGAGAGAGTGAAAGTAGACAACAAGAGCCGCTTGATTTGCATGGCAGGACTGATGTTTAGAGAGCCGCCTCTCAGGCACGGCCAATGCTTCAGTCAAGCTCATATCTGTTGTACAAACGAGTTTCTGTTTGTGTTTGTTTCCGTCTGTCTGCACACGAGACCACAGGTGGAGGTGGTGTAAGTGGGAGAAAATGTTTCTGATAAAGAGCTACAGTTGAAGGCAAAATTGTTAGCCCTCCTGTAAAATTTGAATTATTATTATTATTTTTAAATATTACGCAAGTAACTTTTACCAGCAAGAACTTTTTTTTTTTTTTGCAGTATTCCCAATGCAGTTTTTATTTCTTTAAGAGAAAGCCTTATTTCTTTTAGTTTGGCTGTAATAATTTTTTTATATTTTCTATATTATTAGCCCCCTTAAGAAATTATTAGTTTTAGACTGAGTGTAAAATTTCACAGGAATGCCAATTGTATTGTCCTCATCTGTATATGTTCCTAACATATCTTTTTATTGAAGAATTGTGCTACTTATTCTCAAGGAACAAGAAACTGTCATAAATTCATACTTAATTTGTTATATATAAAGGTATATTTTTTCCAAATTCATGTTGAGTAAATTTGCAATTATGGATGAACTATCCCTTTAAATCACTCTCCTTCATGTCATTCCAAACCCCTTTAAACCTTTGCTCATCTTCAGAACACACATTATTTTATACGTAATCTGAAAGCTCCCTCATCCTCTATAGACAGCAACAGTTCCATGATCCAGAAAGATACCAAAACGTATCCTCAAAAAGTGTCTTTAGTCAGTATATTATCAAGCTACAGGAAATCTTATGTGTGCACATAAAAAAAATAATAAAGATTTTATTCAGCAGTTTCTTTCCCTCAGTGTCAGTATAGGGCACAGGTTCAAGAGAGCACTGTGCTCTTTATATGTGCCTTGCTTGGTTGTGTTGGTGCTGTATTCCTTGAATGTGCCTGTGCTTTGTTTCAAACATAGGAAGTCATGAGTCTAAGGTGTACATTAGGGCTAATCTTTAGGTAACACGCTTTACAAAACATTTGGAATGATCGTATTCAATAGTGATCCACATGAGGGTGGGTAATTATTGAGTAAGTTGAGTTGAAACAACAAAAAAGTTTTTTGGGACTTAAATGTTTTTGTTCAATCAACTTAAATTGTAAAAAAAAAACATAAATGAACATGTAAATATCTTAATTGATTTGCATTGGTATAACATAAAGAATCGTGTGGAACCTAGCATTTGCCAGCAAACATTGGAATGCAGTATTTTATTTTATTTTTTAATATACTTTAATAGGCAGAAAAGGTCCGTATTTTAAATATAGGCTTATATTATATGTTTTTACTTTGCAGTGTACTTTAAATGACAATTTATAGTAGTTTCACTATTAAAATGTTACTTACTCTAGAACTGTATGCATTTTGCATGACTCCTTATATACACATTATGCATATTATCTCATATTACATATTGTCTTACTAGCTGATCACACACCAGTAAAAAAAAACCTGTTTTAAAATCAGATGAATCACTTCATAAACAGACACTTAAAGTATTTGATTAGAAGACTTAGGGAATCATCATTGTAATATAATACAGAAACATTATTTATTGAGCTTTGATAAAAATGAAATATTTGGCTGATGCTTGTATGATTTTAAACATTTTAAATGGATATGCTCCATCTCCATTAGTTGAGTTTGTGACACAGAAGAAGAAGAATGGCAGAGGAGCCTGATCTATTACTAGAGGAGGCTGTGCTGTGCAGTTTTTGACATACAACTTTTGCATGGTCAGTCTTCTCAGTAGGCATGGGCCGGTATAGGTTTCAGACAGTATGATAACCTTGGATAAAAATACCACGGTATTACTGTATTGTGATTACTGCTCTAAAATATGTCATTCTTTTATATTTCGAGTAAAAAACAACCCCCATTGAACTGAATATATTTTATTTCAGGAAACATTTATTACTATTTTGTAACAGTAAACATGTCAGGCTAAATAAAATAAATCATTGACTTCTGCTTCATTGATTTCAAAAACACTGATTTATTTACACCACATAAAAAAACATAAAAAAAAACTCCTTAGGAATGTTATAACAGAAAATACTAATGTTTTAAAACCTTGCCTTTCCCAAACCGTGGTAAACTTTGAAACCGAATATCGTCCCATGCCTACTTCTTAGTTAGAGCCAGTCATTTCTGGAATACAGTTCCTGTTAATTTAAGGGGTATTACAAATTATTCAACATTTAAATACAAATCAAAAGCATATCAAGTCTGTAATCTTGTGAAATTCTTTTCTCTATCTTTTAATGAAATTCTTATTATATGCTTTGTCTTTTTTGATGTATGAAACTACTGATATTGTGTGTAAAAATTTGTTTTTTGATTTTAGGTTACCTTTTTAAAGTCGGGCAGGAGGCAACAGATGAAAATTTGCCCCTGTGGCTAACTCTGGCTTCTAACAGTTTACAGTTGATTAATGAGCATTGTTCCTGTTAAATAATAAAAAAAATCAAATCAAATCAAATTAAATTATCAGTTGAATTGGGATTGATTTTTGTGTAACTTGTAATAAATGATTAAAACCTAATACTCACACACAGTGTTCAAGATCTGAATCTTCGTGCAATCTAATATTTACCACCTATCCTTGTGTATACACACACACACACACACACACACACACACACACATATATATATATATATATATATATATATATATATATATACACACATACATACAAACACACACACACACACACACACACACACACAAACACACACACACACACACACACTACTAAAATCAGTAGTTTATATACTGTATATAAACTACTACTACTACTAAACACACAAAAAAAATGGCTTCTAGCACCTGAGTGAGTAATCAATGAAATAAAGGAAAACATGTCAGCTTGAGTATTTGTGTCTTGTTCCAGATGTTGATATTCCGGTTGTACACATCCAGAATAGTTGAGGTGATGAAAAAACAATATACATTGTCATACAAGGCTTGATATGATTATGCTGACATAGCCATGATTAAAGCCTGTTCTTCAGAATGATTGTAGCCTGGCACTGAGACGCCGGCATGTGTGGCAGATGAATCAGCACTTGTTGTTGCTGTGCCGTAACCATGGCGGCACCATTTATGACACAGGCAGAAGCATAAGCTCTTACATTTAAAAGCAAATATCCCAAGAAGCCCTTTATGCTCGTGGTTGATTGTGCAAGTGGAGAAAAAAAAGCTGAATTTGATGATATACAGAAGAGTGTGGTGAACATTATTTACAAAATAAAAAAAAGGATCTAAAAAGATTTCTGGTAGAAAACTGTGTAACGGAAACAGATGAACACAATGTGTTGCAGATTGAGTGTTGAAAGTAGATGTTAGCGAAACCTAATGGTGGTGGTTCAATCAGGAGTAAACATTGCCTGAATCTTTCAGTTATTGTAGCCAGAGAGTATGAAACATGTGCTGCACATTAAAAAGTACTTTTACACAACATCGATTTCAACTAAAAGCTAAACACTTTTCCATTGAAAATGAAAAGTTTTGAAAAATTTTTTTAAGGATAATACCTTTATCATCTCTACATAAAGGGAGGTGTAATGTATGTGTGTTACTTGTTTGGACTGTTGTCATGCATGAGTACTTTAAAAAGAAAACATCAGCCTATAAAGATGTAGTGAAGCATGTCAAAGTGATATCGCCAACTTCAGGCCTGGCATTTATTTTATTTTTTTGCATGGGTCTGTGTGAATGGGGATCATCATGGTTGTATATTTAACCCTAAATGCATATGTTAGGCTTTTAGGGCCTCTTTTGATCAACTTTCGTAATATTCCTCAATCTATTCATTTTTAAAAATAGTAACAGAAAAAAAACAAATACAATTATTAAAGAATGTCAGTTTTCATTATTATTTGTGGGCAGCACCGTGGTGCAGTGGGTAGTGCTGTCGTCTCACAGCAAGAAGGTCGCTGGTTTGAGCCTCGGCTGAGTCAGTTGGCATTTCTGTGTGGAGTTTGCATGTTCTCCCTGTGTTTGCGTGGGTTTCCTCCGAGTCCTCCGGTTTCCCCTCAGAAGTCCAAAGACATGTGGTATAGGTGAATTGGGTAAGCTAAATTGTCCATAGTGTATGTGTGTGAATGTGAGAGTATGAGTGTTTCACAGTAATGGGTTGTGGCTGGAAGGGTATACGCTGCGTAAACATATAAGTCGGGGTTAATTCCACTGAGGTGACCCCAGATTAATAAAGGGACTAAGCCGAAAAAAATGAATGAATGAGTGAATATTATCTGTAAAAAGATTATAGCGTGACTAAATAAAAAAATATAATTTTTATTATATTATATATTATATTATATACTATATATAACGGCAATATTTTTCAAGGTGGAAATGTCTGATATGGAGTAATGACGTAATGGTTTTGACATTTTAACATTGCAAAACTTAAAATGGCTCGAATGGCTTCACTGCACGGCAATTACTGCACGCTATCAAATATACCAGACTGCTCAATCTGGTGAATAAACTGTCTGTGAACAAAATTTAGATTTTATTGACCCTTTACTGTAAGTCTTTTCAAAATATGTTTGAATATTTGCCTGATGTTTCTTGTACAAAAAAAAAAAAAACATTTGCTCACAACAGTGATTGTAAAATTATTGGCTCAAATTGACCTCATTCCAAATTTTGAAAAATATCAAGAGAGTATTATGTCACTATAGAAAATATAGATCAATCTATATATCTATAGATATATGGATTTCGATTGCTACCAAAAAATAATAATAATAATAATGGAAACTTCACCAATAATATTAAAATCAAATTTTGCATGGTA